TCAGCCGTCCAGGGCCTCTCTGGGAGTCTCGTTCCCGCTGTCGCTGGCGCTGCTGCCTCCGCGAGCCGACACCTGGGAACGTCGGGGCCGGAGGGGGGTGGGTGGGTGGGGGGGTGGGTGGGTGGGTGGGTGGGTGGGTGGGTGGGTGGGAGGAGGAGGAGGAGGAGAAGGAGGAGGAGGAGGAGGAAGAGGAGGAGGAGGAGGAGGAGGAGAAGCAGGAGGTCTCATTGCCGGGCCCATCTTGGAGCTCACCCTGGAGGGTCTTGGCGAGTTACGACGGCAAGAGAGGTGGAGTGCGTTAACGGGGTTCGCAAACATTGTAGCGGGAAGATCTCCGACACAATCGACGCTGTTTGAGGATCGCCGTGTGATCACGGATGCCTGTCAGTGGTGCGGTTCGGATCGCGGCATGGCAAGGCATCGGTATCACTAATGTGCCGATCCGCTGCGATCCCTCCTGTGCCTGGACCAGGGTTTGTTTGACGACCAGGAGGGCCTCCTGGCCACCAGGGCGTTAATGCCCAGCAAGGAGTGGGAGTGGCCCAAACCTTTGGAGGATCCTGGGGGCCCTCTCACAGGGCGTGTCTGTCTCGACGGTTCTGGCCTTGACCCCCCTCCTCCCGCAGTTCTCCAGGGCGGGCTGGGCGGCGGTCGCGGTGGTCGACGGAGTTCTCGCGTATTCCTCGAGTCGGATCGTCGTGGTTGGGTCTGCGTGTGGGTCTCTCCCCAACCCTGTCCAGACCTCGGGCTGTGGAGAGACTGGCAGTTCGTTGATGTGCCTTAGGCCTGCAGAGCCAAGCGAGCTGACCATTTGCACCGGCTGCAACATGCTGGTTGACGTGCGGAGCAACGGCCCACTGCAGGGCACCGAGAATCTGGCCGGTTCAGAGCTCTGGCGTGAGATCTTCTGGAGGGGGGTTGACCACGGCCCAGACTCTATCAGGCTCGTAACTGTGAAGTCTCGCCTCACCCTCACTCGAGCCCTCAGAGAAGGTCACAAGGCCTGGGCTTGGCATGGCACCCAGAAGGCTGACGAATTAGATAAGTTGGGGGCCAAGGGGCACCCCCAGTATCCCTACATTCGGACTCAACGTGCTGAGGCTATCGCAAAGGTTCGCCAGAGTGCCTGGCTCATCGCCCAAGTGATGGATTCGCTTAGGAAATCTGGGTTGCCTGATGTCGCCAAGGTGCGGCCTCCTCGTCACAAGGATAATGTGTGTGTGTGTGATTGGGCTAGTGCCCGATCCCACAGGGCATGCCACAGAGAAGTTTGGCAAGCGTTCTCAGTGCGCAACTTGCGGACCTAGAATTTCAATACTTCCATGTGTCCCCGCCCCCCCACCCGCGTGGCGCGCACAGCTCACAGGTCGCACAGGCTCTGGCCTGGAGGTGGGTCGGTGGCCTGGTGCTGCGACTGTGGCGCTCTCGGGCGCAGGAGGGCCGAGCTTTCACGCGTCGTTTTTGCACGCAACGGGCCTGCGACGGATCCCGCCAGAAGTCTCCCTTGCCGCTCAGGCAGGGGGTCGCCAAGCTCCAGAAGAGACGTTGGCCGCTCGATCCACCCCCTCTCTCTCTTTCTCGAATGGACGCTGGCTGGACTGTCCCTGCAGCTCCGTGGCGTCTGCTCCTGAGCGTCGGTTGGCCCAGGAGGCCGTCGTCGGTTGACCCTCACCGTGGCCAGGGCCCCGGGCGGGCCCCCGAGGGCGGTGCCGTGCCGGTCGCCCGTGCCCGCTGCGCCGCCGCCCACGCGCCACCACGGCCAGGCCGGCGGACAGGAGCTGGGCAGGGCTGCTCTCTGCCCTGCTCTCCCGCTTTGGCGGGTCGTGTCCCATCGGGGGATGCACGTGCTGAGGAGTCAGCTGGGGTCGGCAAGGGGGGGAGCAGGAGGAGGACATGTGCAGGGCAGATGGAGTGCAGCAGTGTAAACAAAAGCGTGGAGGTAGGGGGGGGCGGGTGTGGGGAAGGGGATGAGATCAGCAGGAGGGAGGAAGGGAGGGAGGGAGGGAGGGAGGGAGGGGGCGGAGAGCAGTAGGAGGTAGGGGGGGAGGAGGCGGCAAGGAGGAAGGAGAGGATGTACACGAGGGACAAATGTGGCAGGGATGAGGGATGAGGAGGCAGAACAGAGGATATCATGCGGAAGGATCTGAGAGTGGATCATGGAAGGAGTTGGAGGAGGAAGAAAAGAAGGAAGAAAAACAGGAGGAGGGGGATGAAAGGGACAAGGGACGAGGGGGGAGGAGGATGAGCGGGATAAGCGAAGGGGGAAAGGGAAGAGGCAGAGGAATCGAGGAGGAGGAGGAGGAGGAAGAAGAAGAAACGAGGAATACACCATCATGATGCTCCGCTCCCCTCCTCCTCCTCCGGAGGAGGAGTCTCCACCAGAGACCCCCTGCCGCGGACGGGCCCTGCGGGGGGGGGCCGCTCCCCAAGGCCCTCGGGGCACTCACGCGCCCCTTCTGCCCGCGCTCGCGCGGCCTCTGCAGGAGAGGCTTCGGGCCGGCCTCTCCTCCAGAGACCCTCCGTCGGTGCACGGGCCCTGCGGGGGACCCTGGGAGCCCCTGAGGCCCTGAGGCGCTCGGCCTGGCTGCAGCGTTCCCCGAAGACCAGGGGAGGCCGCCGAGAACGGGAAACGAGCTCCGAGACCGAGGAAGAGGAGGAGAAGGGGTGAGGGACCTTTTGGACCTTTTGGCAAGCACAGCGTGCGAAGAAGGAGAGGGGGAAAACGGAGGAAGGGAGGCCAAGCACCTGCACCCCTGGTGGCTACTCGTTAGCAACCACCCCCGACTCCCCTTCCTCCCCGCAAGGGGGGGTTGAGGGAGGAGGGAGGAGGGAGGAGGGGGGAGGGGGAGGGGAGAGGGGGAGAGAGGGAGGAGAGAGGGGAGGAGGGAGGAAAGAGGAGAGGAGGGAGGAGGGGAGAAGACGGGAGGCCGGAGGGAGGAGGGAGGAGGAGGAGGCGACGAGGACCGGACGGGCCTGGATCATGAGGCCGTTTTTTCTGTAAGCCTGGGCCGGCCTGGATTATCAGGCCCGGCTGAGAGAAAAAATATGATCCGGCCCAGTGTGACCCGACACCGCCATGTCTGAGGATGAAGAAGACTGACGGAAGCTGTAGGGAAGGGGTCGGAGAATGAGGCGGAAGGAGGACCATGATAAAGCTGACGCTCACAAGAAGCAGGGAATTGAGGATGGGGAGGCGGACGATGAGGAGGATGAGTATGCGGCGGAATCTGATCACGTGAGCGTCAGTGCAGCCCAGCGGCCACACCCGATCAAGACATTGAAGGGGCTGGCATTCTTGCCTCCCGCAGGTCCTTTGCAACCTGTCAGCTGATCGGTTGTGCCAACGTTGGTTTACATGTCTCGGGAGGGAAGGTGGTACGCTGCAGTTTTTTGTGTGGCATGATTATGCTTGTGTGTGTGTTTGGGCTCGGGCGCTTCTAATCTGTGCGCGCGTTTCCCGCTTTCTGACCTTCTCTGCCCTGTCGCTGCGCGCAGGGCCGCCTGTGTGTGTGCGCGCGTGTGCGTCTGTGTGTGTGTGTGTGTGTGTGTGTGTGTGTCTGTGCGCGTGTGAGCTTACAAAGGGCTAATACTCCTCGTGCAATTGCCCATACGGTTCCGACGTCCGATACAGCTTCTGGTTCCGACCCTCTTGGCCAAACGCCAGGGTGCAGGCCAAATGAATTGTTTCTGGGTTGCCCCCCCCTCCCCCCCTTCTGCCCCCCCTTCCCCCCAGACGCCATTGATACAGATTGACACATTACTTGGAGCGGGCCGCACTCGTGGTCTGGGCCGCGAAGCCCCATCCAGCCTGCTCCAGCTCCGCCCCAACCACCATCGCCAAATATGAGGGTGCGGACCACATGCGTGCCCTGGGCTGTGCAACACTATTCCGCGTCGTTCAGCAGCGTCCCACTCATCCTTGACCAACATCTGGGTGCGCTCCACGTGTGCGTTACGTATGTTAGGGCATGCCCTTCTCCTCACCATCACACCGTCACTACCATGAGAACCAGTGTCGTTACATCTCCATGTTTCTACTGTTACCATCACCAACGCCAGCATCATGACACCACGGCCGCCACCGTCATCATCATCACCCGCATAAGCACCATAACCATCTTGATAAGACTGAGAAACTTGGTGAGACGGGCTTTGGGAGAGTTGGTCTCGTCACCACGCCATAATGGCGGCCCTTGCCCCCTTCTCTTCAGCCCTCTCCCCAGGAACCGAAATGTATGAGGAACCATCTTTTTGTTTTGAGAACACAGTGAGTGGCAACCTCGGTCCAGCTTCCCATCGAACTTCTGACACACATCAGAACGTGTAGGGTCCCAAACCCAGATAGCAGGGCGCCAGAAGGGCGTGCGAAGGCCTGTCGATAATCTTTGGAGGGACCTGGAGAGAGCTTCCGAAGGACCTTGTGGGAAACGCTTAGAAAAGGTCTGCAAGAACACGCTGCGCCTTCACACAGCTCGCTCCGGGGAATTCTGCCGGAAGCCGGAACCAGCTCCGGGGCAACTCTGCGGCTCCGGCTTCTTAATCAGTAACCCTCTTAGCTCTCTCAGAGCTATCCGGGAATCGGCGCAAGATGCTGCGACACATGAAAACCAACCAAAACCAATGGCTTCTCAATAACGGTCTGTTACAAGGCGCTGCACCCCCGCGAAAGGCCATCCTGCGGGCCACCCGCACTTCCTCCAGCACGGACCTGCGCACCCTGGTCTGGCGGTGGTTTCTTCTGCTGCAGACGGTGCTTGACTACGTTTAACCAATTGCAACAACACATTCACAACTCACCAACTGTTCGATTCAGAGGGTCGTCTTGTTTTGAGCGCTGGCATCACCACCGTGATCGCTATCACAATCACCACCATCACCAACAGTATGCTTGCGCTTCTGTTGATCATCGTGGCCAGTGCGGTCATTAGCGATGTTGCTTTCAGTGGCGTCATCACCGCCACACCATTGCCATCGTCACCATCGAATTTTCGTCGTCACAATCATCACCATCAACAATATCACCATCACCGCCTTCGTCAACATCCTTACCCAAATTTGCCGGCCCAACGGGC